AAGTTTTCTGTTTCCTCTTAATATCCAATGAGATCCCATCACGCTTTTTCCTGGAATACGATTAGCTAAAATACCAACAACTGACCTGCAAATTTGAAATGGCTCAGATATTGGAGATTCGGTATGAATATCCGGACCCCGTTCAATCGAATCGAGCACCAATTTCTCCCATTGGTCAATCCGAAATTTCTTGTCGCTGATTGGCTACAATCATTTTCAAAATCGAGTTTCTACTGGAAAGGGTGAAGTGGATAATGGCCAATCAGATGTCTCTGCTCTATTTGTCCTCGATTGGACGAACCATGCAAAATTGGGAAATTTGAAGAAAATCGACAATATTGCTTCAACACTACCCAACTCATGATAACAGGCCGAAGCAAATCCCTCCGACCGCACTATTTGAACTACCGAAGGCCCCCGGAATAAGGAACCCACCATAAATCTAAGCACAAGGTTTCGTGCAAAACCAATGATATGCGGGAAATACACCATAGTAATGCGTTGTACGCACATACTAAGAGCCTGTTCGGGGGGAAACCGAGACGAAACAACCAGAAAGGAACATAATGTGATTGGTGGATCGAGACGGAAATCAACTGAGACGCAACCAGAAAGGAACATAGTGTGATTGGTGGACCGAGACGGAAATCAACTGAGACGCAACCAGAATCCGGATGCGCCTTGGTTGATTTCCGTCTCGGTTCGACAAAATCATACCGAGACTCCCCGTCGTGGTTTGTGGGCAACAAATACGCAACCGGGTTCCGGATGAAATTCTACTGCTTGCGCGAACAAGTCGAGAGGTCAGCTCAGCCGCCGCTGTGCCACCGACGCATAAAATGAAGCCAATGACGGTATGTATGATGTATCATCTGAATTGGAAGGTGGTATCACTGACTCACCATTTTCGAATGTATCATCAGAAATAGGCGATGGAGCCATCCCATCTTCTATCGAGACGCAGTCGCCGGCTCACCCAGGTATCCACTGCACCAGCTGACGAAATCCCTTGGTTGTGATGTGTTTGAAAAAACGGGTTCGTTTCACCGAGCACAAATTTGCCGTCGGAAAAACTTCCATCTCGTTTTCGTGCGGCCGGAGGTTGACATGCTGGGAAACCGCGCGAAGCTCGATATTATTTACCACTCTAAATTGATGATCAACATTCCAATGATTCGAATGACTGAACTTGAGTTGGGTATCGATTGTTGGGTACAGCCTCCTCGTTGAATCAACTTATTTTTTTAACAAAATCAAGCCAATCGGACGTTTTCTTTCGGCACTTTAAGCACATAATATTTAAAACCAAATACCTTGTGGCGGGTTTATTTCCGGCTGGGGGTAGTATTACACTATTGAATCGCGCTACAAATTCGTCACCGACATATCTCCTTCCACATTTTAGTTAAGCACTCTGCGTAGCCTCAAATTTCACGCCTCAATCGAGACAGAGAGTGAGCGCAATTGTAGGAAATATCGATTTCTTTTCTTCTCATGTACAACCTATAAAATAATCCGAAAATACTATCGTATTCGCACTGCGATTGGCAGTATTTTGAGCGTATTTTGACGAATTTTGTTCATTTTTGTGAAAAATGGACCACATAGTTAGCACTGACTCTTTTTCTGATACGGAGGGAATAGTGTTTTAGCCTTCAGTCGAATTTCGTTGCTAGAGGGGGGATGGTGTGAGCCACCACAGTGTTACCACAACCACTCGAGTGTTGACTACAGCCCGTCCGCTTTGGCTGTGGGCTGAAGAGTCCCAACTGGACTGCACATGTGAAGTTGAAGATGCCATGGTTGCGAATGTAGCTGAGGTTCAGCCGTGGTTGGATGCTCTGTGCTGTTGGTATGTCAAACCAAACGCATCAGCGAGAGAGTCGCCCCTGCTTTCTTGGCTTCGCCATTGCAGGCAGAGCGAGTGGCTGTTGTTTTGGAAGGCCTAAATTGAGAGACAACACGTGCTACGTTTGGAGGTGGGCCAATTGATGGAGCGTGGAGACAGCCGGGGTTGAAGTACCAATCTGGACCCGCGAAGGAGTCTTGAGCGCGGGAGGGAATGCACAGTAGTCCCCCAGAATAGAGAACCTTTGATTCGGATACGTTTTAAGAGGTATCACTACAGCTCAGGTAAAAAACTCAAAGGTATTTTAGATGGATTTCGTGCTTCTGATTTGTCAATGAATAACCTATGTTTTGTCAATGTGCTCGGATTGAAAAATGGACATTGGTGGAAAAAAGTCGGACAGGATATACAGGAACCAAGTTTGTTTAGACGATATAGAGTATAAAATAAATGTCTCTTTTGCCCACACTGCCAGTTCAGAATACTTTGCACTCGGCTGCTGTAAATGCTTAACGTACAAGGCATATCTGTCTTCCAACATCATACGAGGCGTCATCTTGAATTGACAGTGAGCTTATTAAGCATCATGCATGCATTTGAATATTTGAAAGAACTTCGACATGTTATAATATTCGATTCAACAATGACCATGACAGATGAACAACATAATGAAATTTTGCCTGCAACCCGCCAGCTAGCAACGACAGTACAATACAGTACCTTAGAGCCTTGTACTACTGGAGGTGTGGAGCATCCGTCAGGGGGATCCTCCCTCTGGCGGATGCTCCACCTGGCTGTGGTAGTAGTGGTTGGTCTCTTGCTCTGGTGGTCGTAGGATGAGCAGTAGTGATTGCTGTGTCGTGGGTGTGGCTGTGGTAGTAGTGGTTGGTTAGTACTCCACACCACCAGTAGTACTAGGCTCTAAGGTACTGTACTATATTGTCGTTGCTAGCTGGCTGTACAAGATCAAGTTGCGGGACTTGACCAAGAATCAAGGCAATATCTTGTGTGAGTGGAAGTTCGCGGTGCAGGAGCTCCAGAACGTTTATAACAGCACGATTGGCACTGGTTTGGGTCGTCCCTACACCTCGGCCACAGCTATAGCTGCATTGCATTTGGCATATAATGGCCAATTTGCCATCATCCTGGTTTCACTGAACTTGGACGTCAGCTTCGTATGTCCCAAATGAAGATGGTCACATTTGCACGGCTGGCTAGAAAACGTAGACATAATCCGGGTTTTTATGGCATTCCCGCATATACACCCTACTTAATGGATTGTACAGCACCCATATTTATTGGGCGTTACAGTATTTCTCAAAATTGTGGATGTAGGAGCACAATGAAGTCGGAATTGACAGACTGTGACCCCAAATGATGCAGCAAAAAGTAAAGGCAGGATAATAAGGTCGAATTTAAGCCAATCAGAATTGAGCCGGATGAGATGTCCGACTTTATTCGATCACAACACATCATTTTCGAACTCAGGAGAGGTACCCTGGCAACCTCAAGTAGACAAAGCACACACCATCAAGCATGTTCATTCATTTTAAAGGTTAAGCACACTATCAATCAACTAATAACCCTCATCGTCAGGAATACCTGTATGGCGCCATCAATTTACAATAGTGTCGTGCGTCACAGATTGCCAAGCTTCCTTGGCCCACTGCAACGCTTCCAACAGACTAACTTTGGTATGAGCATCGACGCCTCGAAAATCGCCTCCCACTCCGTTTCGCGAATGTCCTCGATGGGACGATCGAATTGGAATCGCGCGTCGTTGGCGAGCCTCCGCCGTCATGCAGGAGCTCATCCATACCGTCCCGATGCCCACACCGCTGCTCACGCTAATCGCGTCTTGGCCGCGGGCGTACACGATGAAGCGCTTGGTGAACTTCTGTTGGTCGCGCTCCTTGAAGCCATACTTGCCATAGACAGGTGGCTTCTTGGGCGTGTACCCGCTGATGAGCGGCGCCGCCGTCGACTGTGGCAACGGGCTCATCGAGATCGAATGTCGCACTGGGGCCGACATCGGACGGCTGCCCATCGTGTAGAACGTCGACGCATCTTCGAAACTCCCTGGCGGGAGCTCAAAGCTGGTGCGATGCCACGCCGAGTCAAAGTACGGAGGCAGGCTGCTACTGCGAGCACCTGGAGGGGCCTCACCCACTCCCGAAGTTATCGGCGATCCAGGCAACTGTGTGTTCTCGGCCGGTCCCTCAGTCGGGATGTTGACCCCGGCGTCGCCCTCCGCCGAGGCGTCGACACCGGCTGCGCGCAGCTGCGTGTTGTACCGTGCACGCTCCTCTTGGTGCATGGCTGCAAGACGCTGGTCCATCGTAGTCTGCGCCTCGTGCTGCTGCTGCTGCAACTGCTGCCAATTGAGGTTGGCATTGTTGAAGGCACGCTGCTGCTCCATGTCGAGGTGCGCCTTGTACCCGGATGCCTCGCGCTCCAAGTTCGCCCTGAACTGCGCAGTGTGAGCCGTCGCATCTTGTTCGACCGCAAACTTGTACTGCGTAGTGTGAGCCGTCGCATCTTGTTCGACCGCAAACTTGTACTGCGTAGCTGCTTGGTGCATCTGGCGCTGCTCCCACTCGAAGTGGGCCTGACGCCGGTCTGCCTCGATGCGCTCGCGCTGATGTAGGGCATGCTCGCGCGCGCGTACATGACCGGCCCACCCTTGGTCCTGCGATTGCACAGGCGCCGCGTAGACGTGATGATGGAACGACGTATGCGGTGACGGTGCGACACGTTGTCCACCGTGAATTATACCCATCAACGACTGTCGGCCGTGGTAGGCAGCACTTAACCCGGTTGTCGGGTCGTTGTCGTCGGCACTCCATGGTAGTTGGGCGCGACGATGGACATAACCATCGTCGAGCCATTACCCACCCGCGACGACTGTCGCGCTTGTGGGCGGTAGGACTGCGCTGGGAGACCACCATAAGCCGCGCCTGGTGGGCATCCTTGTTGTTGCCCGCACGTCTCCGGGATCCGTGGTAATGCCTGCACACGCGGGAGGCTCGCCATCGGTTCCCCAAGCGAGGCGAGCTTCTTGTTCCGCGCAGTGGCCAAGTACTTGGCCTTCTTGGTGAGCCAAGTCTCCCACGCGGACTGTGCAATCCCCTCAATGGCAAATGGCACTGGCGGAAAGAGGGGAGTTCTCGTACGCACGCAGAAGCTTGATTCTGTCCCCGAGGCTGTAGCCTTTTTGGACGCGCTGGCGTGGGATGGGTGCTTGCATTTCAAATTTTGAATTATTGGAGTTACGTTACGAACCAATAGGCGATCGTCATGCAATAGGCGATCGTCATGCAGCTTGGTCATAATTTTGAATTTTCGCCGCGACAAACTTGGAAGGATCAGATGAATAAAAATATGGGGGTACCACGTTTGCGAGTTAATACCGAGTTCACTTTACTGTACATCCCTCCCGCGCTCAAGACTCCTTCGCGGGTCCAGATTGGTACTTCAACCCCGGCCGTCTCCACGCTCCATCAATTGGCCCACCTCCAAACGTAGCACGTGTTGCCTCTCAATTTAGGCCTTCCAAAACAACAGCCACTCGCTCTGCCTGCAATGGTGAAGCCAAGAAAGCAGGGGCGACTCCCTCCCTGATGCGTTTGGTTTGACATACCAACAGCACAGAGCATCCAACCACGGCTGAACCTCAGCTACATTCGCAACCATGGATTCCCAAATATACCTGGTAACCCACAAGTGGGTCGCGGCGCCCTGAGAAACAACTCACACATCCCACCGACACGACCATGGGCCCTCCCCCGCCGGACCCAGGACGGCCACCACCCCTAGCTACGTCCGTGACAACGACAACCCCCATGGTTACAGTACTCGTTACCCGGAACGGGATACCCACGCCCACCCTCGTGCCAGCTACCGGCACAATACGCGCTCCGCTCCCTTCATCCTCCTCCGACCCGGATTCGGACCCCGACACGAACCAGCCCCCTGCCGCCACACCACTAACCCCACGCCAGCTACGTTCCAAATTAGCTGCAGACAAATTCCTGGCCCGACAGGATCTCATCCGGGCAACTCGCGCCGCCACGCGGCCTCTCACACGCCAACACCACCCATCCAGGCTGAGCAACACTCACGCCAACCACATGGCAACTCCAACCCAATACCTCTCTGAGGATGATAAACCCATCCGTCCCCGACCTGCTCGCAAGCCATCCCCGCCCACTACCCCACCTCAGGCCCAGCCCTCCAAGTCCGCCCATGGCCCGCCCCATACACTACCAAGCCAACCATACCTACCTCCACCAAGACCATACGCAGCTCCTCCACACAAAGCTCGCTCCCCGCGGCATGGCGACGTACACAGAAACCCGATAACACAACAGGACCCATGGACCCGCGCGAGAAACTCTCCATCCCCTACCACCACAGCCACTCCTTGCCATTGCACCCAATACTGCACTTGCCACCCATGCTCCCTGTCATCATCCCACTACTCCAGCACACCCCCTTCCTACCCAGGCCACCACTATACCGACCAGCAGTCCCACACCATCCCCTACCACTGCCTCTCCACCTCCTCCGACTACTGCCAGGTTGCTAACAACCAACCGCACCGCAGTCCCCACAACACCCACACGCACCACCCTATGGCCCACGAGTTTTGGCGCCACCTCATCTGTCCCATGTCTCACCATGGTTTCGCGCCACCCCGGGGCACACAATCGCACAAACGTCCCACTCCCAGCAGACCCATCACCTCACCCATCACCAGGACCATCTGGCACCGTTCAGTAAAAAATTCCGCCGGACCGATCCTTGAGCCGTCTCCACCATGGGTACACTGCACAACCAAGCACATCTCCTATGCATCCACGCCCGGACACGCCTCCCTCTAGCCCACCACCATCCCCGGACACCCGGACATTACCACACCCACAACCCACCGGACCAACGGCAACCTCGGTACAAGATTCGGACCCGCATCCCACCCCACTGGGACAGGCCTCTGCCCAGCCAATGGAAACCATAGGACAGGCCACGTACCGGGCCACCTCATCCACCAGTTCAGTTACCCACCCCTCTACCAAACGCCCACACTCCGAAGTCGATCCAGACCTGAACCTCGCTCACCCCTCCTTCACGATACCACCATCCAAACGCCACCAAGCTATGCTCTACCCGCCTACCTCGTCCTACCAGACAGGTCCACCCGACCCTACACAGCACTCGCAGGACTCCACCGACCTACCCTCACACGAGGAAGACCTTGACGAATATGATGCCAACATTGCCCTCCAATTCCCAGGTCTACGCGACCTCTGCGATGAAGGACAACCGATCCTATACCGCACAATGACCATGTACTGGGAACGCGAGGCACACCTCTTCCAAGGGTTTACTCCCGCGGAGATTACGGATATCGAGCAACACTTCTCCGAGACCATGGTTAGGATCCAGTTCTCTATCAATCCGTCGCTCCAGCAGCCTGACAACCCACTCAGCATCGTCAACTTCAGGAAATAAATCGAG